ATACATTTTAATCATTGATTTCCTTGTTAATATCAGTTAGAAAAAATATATCAATTGTTTCCTCATTTGTTACTTCCAGGAACTATAAAATACAATTTTCAAAAAATAAACTAAAATGGATCATTTCCTTGTTGATTACGGTTTTGAGAGGTACTAATTGTCTACTAATTAATACCATCCTGAAACGTGATCAACATATCCAAATTGTGCTATTTACTTATTGGTTTCAGTTTGGAATGAGACCATCGAATGTTTTAGTTTTAGTACATATTCCAGATTATTCCAACAATAACATTTTATTTGAACTTGCGAATAATGATATAATTATACAAAAATATCTCTTTTAATCTGAGATATTGCCGTACGCTTAAATGATAAACTAGAAACATATATAAAATCCCATACGGTACCATAATTATTAGTGCCACAGTGTGATAGTGACATGATACGATTCGTATGATGCAGTTTCCGTCAAATCACAACGAAAGGTCAAGGACAGACAACTTCTAATTTTACAAGATGTCAACATTTTTGCATATTCTGTCTTCTGAATAATGATATTTTGTATGGACATATGGAAATCTGTTAGAAAAGATGTTAATAGTAACTTATCAAAAGCACTTTGGAATATTAATGTCGGATGTTTAATAAATAACGCCGTTTTCCAGAAATTCCTTTGAAAATGACAAAAATGCATGAAAACCATAATTTTTATCTGTGATTCAACTGTTATTCACCATAAAACCAAATAACATACTTTATTTAGTGCTAAGGATGTTTTTGACATAATTAAATTACTGCAATTACGCTTCCTGTAAATTAAACAGCCAATTATAACAACCATGCAGTTGCCCAAAATAACGCCATCTGCAACAAGATAGCTTTTTTATCTGTTCTTTGTTTAAACAATTTGTATGTAGTCGATATTAGGTTGGAAAAACAAATCCTTAAAGTGCAAAAATGTTAAACGACAGAATACATAAGTCATTCATGCTTTTAGGGGAAAGTTTTGGAGCAAAACTTTGATATTTCAATATTTCAATATGTATTTTCTTGGTTGCTTATACTGCATTTTGCATTGACTTAGGAAGTGAACATTATTATAAGCTAGCCACTGAAATGTTCTTTATGCCTAGTCAATGTATTTAATCCTATCAAACTACGTAACTCTTGTAAATAAATTGAAACTTTCGCATTTATATTTACTTTTATTAATTTTTTAGATGGAAATTCTAGCAATTCGTAATACCAAAACATACACTCCCTGAATAGTTTACATATACATACATTGTAATTAAAGATGATTGATGGATTGTTGGTCATGTTGGTGTTTGATTTTTAAAGTTTTTAAAAAAAATGCAATTTTCTGTAAATATAGCGCAATCAACATTTAAGTTTGCATTTGATTTGGAATAATGGTAATTTGTTTTATAAGGTTTAGATGATGTTTTTAAAAAAAATGCCATACAAGTACCAGAAAATGGAATTTTGTTTAATTCTGGCAAAATTTAGGAATGTTCAATTTTAACCTTTGACCTTAATTTGACGAAAATTGCGAATTATTGAGGACCGGGCAAAACAGGAAGTACAGGTAGATTTTAATTAGCTTTCGAATGATATATAATATAGCCGTATGTTAGGTGCACTACGAAAGTCAAAAAGTCTGAAAAGACCAGTTTTTGTCTGAATTTGCATGAATTTTTACTCGACATTCTTAATTTGTCTGAATAATTTTTAAACATTCTTGACATAGTATGAATTTGTCTAATAAGGTTCTTGATTTTTCTTGACAAGTGTCTTGACAGTATGAACATTGTCTTAAAATTTCTCGACACTTCCTGTATCATCTGATAAGAGTCTGGATTAGTCTCGACCAATTCTTGACTGTCTTAAATTTGTCTCGATCTGTCTTGACATATTCTTGACATTCTTAATAATGTCTGAATATGTCTCGACATATTCTTGACATTCTAAATAATGTCTGAATATGTCTCGACACATTCTTGACAGTCTTAAATATGTCTTAAATATGTCTTGACACTATCTCAACAGTATAAATTTCGCCTGAAATGTGAACAGACTTATTCTGCACTGTTTATGACATTCTATTGCTGTTATATACTCCTTTTTATTATGGCTAAACTAATTTGGTATATAGTAAGATACCCTTTTGGTGCAACTAAGTTGTAATACCCTGAATAATCCCCCATGTAGTTTAATTTTGATTTATTTTTATTAAACATTTAAGTAATTGTTTTCACTTGGAATATAAGTAGAAGGTATTGACAAACAGCATTTAGATTTTTGCCGTTCGCAAAACTGCCAGTCAAATTTGCTTTACTAAAATAGGTGTCTTGTATCTCTTTTGGACCCCACAATTCATCTTTTGGGTTTGTGTAGCTAAAAAAAGAGGGGGGGGGGGGGGGGGGGGGGGGGGGGGGGCTTTCGTTTAGGTCAAAGAATTTGTTCCCATCTTGATTCAAAAACCTTATTCATTTTTTAGAACAACCCAAAAACCTTTTTTTATTCAAATTTGAGTGTTGAATTTTATAATTTTTTATCAAAAATAAATATTAATAAATAATAAAAAAAACTCCTTCCTGAAAAGAAAAAAATGTTTAGATCTATATAATGCATGTCTGTTTGAGAACCATTTCTATAGAAATCATTGATGGGACCCATTATAAATACATTTTTTTTATTATTCCTGGAGTAGATAATAATTTTCTTTTAATCTTTTGGAATTATTCAATTTGTTTTTATGTTTAAATAATTAACTTCATAATTTTGATGAAGAAAATCCATTTCAATTCAATTTTTTCCATCAAAATGATGATTTTCATTTTCATCTATCAACAAACTTTTTAAATTTTAGTGGCATGGTCGGTCAACTGATAAGTTGTATGGCTGATTACAGGTAAAGCAATAACTTCTATTTGACAGTTGCGTGTACTCTGGGGTGTGGAATACCTTAATTTTATGGGGAACATCCTGTCCATGTGCAATACTTAATATATTCCAACAGATGACATTACACACATTTTTCTTCTGTTAAATGAATGATTTGTATATCATCATAATTTGCTATTTATATAAACCACATTTTGATATAATAATTATTTACCGTATCAACATTGAATATTATGAATGTAGAATGAAATATGTCTACAGTATGATTGGTTTGAATCATTTAATTTATAAGATTTAGGAATCAAAATTTGTTATTATTTAAAAACCCACATTGAAATTGTTTTATATCAACACAACCACATTTGAATTATTTTATACTTTAGATTTCATAGCCATATTTGCATTTGTAAAAATATTTATATACCCAAATTTTCAATTATTTTACATGCCCAACTTTTATTTTTGTTGTAAAGAAGTGTAACTTGAAACAACAGTATATCATATAAAGAGAAATAAAGGTTAAAGTTATATCATGAATATTGGTCATGATTTGTAAAACTCAGAACTGTCAAATAAATTTAAGACACGATTCAAAATGTTCAGAAATTATGTCAAGCCATACTGAGAAAAAATAAGAATGTCGAGAATATGTCGAGAAATTTCAAGACAGTATTCAAATGTCAAGAAATTTTAAGACCATATTCAGAATGTCGAGAATATGTCGAGTAAATTTCAAACAGATTTAATATAAATGAGAATTTGTCAAGAAAAATTAAGACACAAGTCATACTTTTGGAGAATGTCGAGTAAAAGTTCATGCAAATTAAGACAAAAACTGGTCTTTTCAGACTTTTAGACTTTTGTAGTGGTGGGTGCATTAAAGTCGTTAACTAGGCGTCTTTTTGAAAAATGTCGCTCGCCTATATGGAAAAAGCCATTCGAGAAAAAGGATAAACAATCGAATACAGATTACGTATTTATTTCATTTATTTCATTTGTTTGCGTTTGCTTTTTTTTATGTTTGTTCTTTCTTCATTATTTTTTTTTATAATGATACAAAAATTCCTGTTTCTTCTCTGACAATCGACAAAGACGTCATGTTTCTAGAAATGACGTCACAATATAGGACGTAACTTATGTAATTAAGATGAGTTTATTTCTTTGAATTTTTATCGGGTTACTTTATATTCAAAGATTGTACATGACTCTCCATTAAGGAAGAGGGGCGATATTGATATTGCATATTTGGGCCGATATGCTCTCCCCTTTTGAGATTGTATGGAAAGTCCGTTTTTACCCCGGTCATTTGCCCCGGATAGCAATACCACTTAGGCAAATCAGCGTGTACGTATTAATAGATGCAAAACCAAACGTTTTCGTAACAAAAATGTGATAAATTGTATTAGGTCATTAGCACTTTGTGAAACGAACTTATTTTACAACAATAGTATGAGTAATTTTTGTAAAACAAATGATGAATATTTTTCTGATAAATATGAATCAATAGTTAGTGTATGTTGGACTATTATCTTGATCAAGTCTTCAATATTTAACACAAACTTGCGCTGATGTATACAAAACAAATGCCAACAATAACAGTTTACTATTTAATATCAAAGAACTACTACTAGCCGTGAATTTAAAGATAAACCACGCTTACTGACCGTGTCTTGAAAAAAACCCACACCAACCGACCTTATATAAAATAAACACGGGTTCCACTTGTTCGCTGTTAACCAATGATATTCATGTAAAATGAAGTTCATAGGCGGTAATAATAATATAAATACTTTATAAAACAATACACGTACTTGAAAAAATATAACAGTCAATCGACAGGAACATTTACTATTTTGAACATTGTGTTAAACTGTGCATGTAAGAGGATTATTATAATGGGTTCTTTAAGAAACGAAAATCATGATCTTTCATCTATCGAACACGATTATATTTCGATTTATGAATGTAATCCCGCTCATGTATTCGACCATCAGTTTCCATCACAAAGCAGGATGATAAGAGATGAAGATTTACCTAGCCGGAGAACGTACGCATACCAAGGAAATTCAAGTGATCGTTTGATAAAACACAAGATAGTAAAAGCGTCTGTTTGTATAGTATTTATAATGTGTGCAGTCTGCTGTTCAATAACAACGGCAGTATTATTAACGCAAATGAAGCAGCATTATCCCAAAAATACGACGGTAAGATAATTGTTTGTATAGATACAAAATAATTTTCAAATATCTTTCGTCAAAGTTTAATAAAAAAAACTGTTGAAATTTTCAAAAAACAGGGTTCGTGTTTCTTTAACTCATTTATAAGTAACGCTTGAACTGTAAATGAGTAAAATTGTACCAAACTAAGTAAAATCTTCGTAAAAGACTAATTCATGATCAATTACGAGCAAACAGATCCCAATACAGTAGCAGGAGTCAAAGGTAGAAAGAATTACGGTCTTAAAACTGAATAGGTTGAGTTAATGGTTATATTCAAAGTTAACCCCCGTTTTGTGGTACATGTAGGGTTCGTATTTTTTAAACCTTTAGAGTTCGGTAAAGAGTATTTGACCTCATTGTTTGAAGCCTCATCGGTGTCATCGTTCTTATACTTTTTGGTCAACCATGATAATTGTGATGATGATGACGTCAGTTATGATGGTGGACTGATATTTCATGAGGGTCTCACCAACCCAGTAGCCAGTACTTCGGTAGTGGCATGAAAATACGGATTTTGAGTTATTAAAATTTGCTGTTACAAAATTAGTGAAATTATTAAAAAAAAAGGAATGTATCTCCCTCATGCAAAGATCTGATCCCTTGCAAGGCTTCGGCTATACTTTTTCTCCTATTTGGTTTATAGCCCTCGATCTTTTTAATAAGCTTTGGATTTTAAAATATTTTGACCTCGAGCTTCACTGAAGAGACATTAATTATCGAAATACATATCTGGTGCAGAAAAAATTGGTACCGTTTATGTTACTTTGACAATTTAAACAGGATATTGTTCAATGTTTTTTTTTGCCGGTCCAGTTTATCTTATATTTTGTTCCTCGCTCAGCTTTTCTGTAGTGATGCATTAAACCTTCGTACCACCAAAACATAATGTCTCATTTGTTGTTTTAACATGCATCGTAGGTACACGAACCAAAATCTTTTCAATTTTGTAATTAATCTAAAAAATGCACTTAGATACATTTTAGATATTTTAATTTCCATAATTGATGTATTATAGGAAACAAAATGTTCATAATGAATAGAAAAAATATTGTTTTATATGGTTTTGTTTTGAAATTTTAGATGTGCAAATTTTTTTTTAATATGTGTTTTAAATAAAATAAAATATCAAAACATACCTTCAACATTACAATCATTTAGTATTTTGTAATTGCAGATGTCCTTACAGTTAAAAGAGAGAGTAGTCATCATTTTGTTTTCCCAGGAGAATCTATTGTGTTAGATTGTGCTGTTGGTTCATGTGGAGCAAATTTCGTTTTTTGGTATAAATATGAAAATGGCCATGATAGAAATTTAACATCCGTAATAGACTCAAAAAAATACAGTGGAAGTACACCCTCTAAACCAGATCTTACCATCTTCAATGCCGATAAAACTGATGCCGGCAGTTATACATGTTTTGTTGTCTTCGACAAAGGAATTATACACAGTAATATCACCAAGCTTTATGTTTCTGACGGTTTGTATCTTTTTTTTGTAATTTTTCCTTGTTCCATAAATATTTTAATTGAATCAAACATCAACATTATCTACTTTATAAGCGTAATTTTTGGGGATGTCAAATATATACAGTGCTTGATTCGAGAAAATCCCGATCTGTTCATTTAGAGCAGTATCTGCTTACCTAACATACCCCAAGTTTTTCGTGGGGATCATGGTGCCCAGTCTTTATTAAAGTATTCTATGTTGTGTTTTGTGTACTGTTGATTGTCATTTTGTGTTTTGTTTTGCCATGGCGTGGTCAGATTATTTTCAAATTATAAGTTTGAATGTCCAATTAGGATCTTTCGCTTCTCTTTTACAACAAAAGAACAAAACACAGCACATCACTATATCATATATATCCTTTCATATTTATGATTTAGAAAACACCAACAGCAATTTCAACGAGTGATCATTAGCTGAAGATTATTTTTACGTCATCTGCCAAAACTCGTGGACTTGCTAATTAAATAAAGTATTAACCTTTAAAATAAATAATTTAAAATATCTTTTTCAGGAAGTGTAGGAGACGAATTTATTTTGGCCTTTTTCAATAGTGGAGGAATGAGCGCAAATGCATTATACATTACGTCAATGCATCATGGAAAGTGCATCATAAATTCACAAAACATTCATTCGAGTATATTTGTGTCTCCAAACACAACTAGTATATATAGGTTTGCTAAATCGCAAGATCTTAGGGAAAGCAAAAGTCGTAAAGGAGTTTATATTATCTGTAATACAAAGGTGTCAATTACTGCATACAGTAAAATAAACAGCAAACGTGCAACATTTCTACTTTTACCAGTGCAAATGCTTGGAAAAGAGTATGTGGTACCTTCATACATGTCAACCTCAAATAGATACGGACATTCAAGTATATTTGCTGTGGTGGCTGTTTACACCGATACGAAAGTGAACATAACAGTAAGATCGGGCACTAAAGGGAACGTCAACCTTAATAACAAACGTCACTTAAATGGATCCGAAATATTCATGAATATGACATATTTGGATACGATGCAAATATCAGAATACAAAGGTGATTTAAGTGGAACCTACATAAATGCGTCAAAACCAGTTGCAGTAATTTCCGGTCACACGTGTGTATTTATGAGAAATAGCTATTGCGGGCGTTTAATGGAAATGATAATCGCTATTAAAGACTTTAGTAAAAGATTCATTATTCCAAAATTAGAACGATCAGAGAGGGTTAAGTTGAGAGCATATTCCTATGTCAAAACGGACATGTTTTGCTCTTATTTGAATAAAAGCAATATTTCTTTTTCTTTACATTCCACAGACTTTTTAGAGCTTGACTATGAAGATTTAACCACGGTACGAACAACTGGAAACATTCATATTCAACTTTACCGAGGTTTATTTGGAGGTTCATCAATGACCACTGTGCCCGGTACTAACCAGTATTTATCCTACTACATGTTCTTCGTTCCGTATGGTTACCAAAAAAATTATTTAAGTATCATTATACGATCTGATGGAATAAAAGGAATTCGCATTAACAAAAAAGAAATAGAAACGCTTCAAAATAGAACCTTTGATTTGATAGGTACTCAATACACTACGTTTGTGTGGAGAATATTGTCTGGCAGACATACTGCAGAACAAATTCAAAATGTTCCATTTGGGTTGGTTGTTTTCGCAGAAAATCCTAAAATGCGTCATGACGTAAATTTCGGCTATTTAGTAGGAATGAGTTTGTTGCCCTCAAATGGAACTTAATAAATACATTTAAAAGGCGAAAATAAAAATTGGGGTGTTTCCTCGTGAAAAAGATGAAAAATAACATTTTACAACAATGTTTTAGCGAAACGGTCTTAATTATAAAAACGTATTATATACTCTCAGAAGGCGTGTTGTGTGTGAACATTCTAAAACAGCTAACAAAGCTGCACACACACGTACTTTAATGAATTACTAAAAGCTGAGAACCTACCTTTGAGTACGTTTATATCTACAGATGAACATGCTGCAACAACAACTGACGAATTATTTCGGTATTTATACATTCTTGACTTTCTAATATTTGGATTTGATGATAAGGCAAATCCAGAATAGCCATTCGGACGCATGAAATTTACAAAGTGATAATTTCATCTTTTTATACGTCATTTGGTCCCTAGAGGAAAAGGGCCTCATTGGCAATCGTACCACCTTTTATTTTATCTCTGTTGCTGTCCTAACAAAACATTTTCCTATATAAACTTTGTTAAAACGGGATCACTTAACTTTAAGAATAAGAGAACTATGGTAATTTCTTTGTTAAATGCTCATATTTTAAATCCTTTTGTATAAACCCCTCTGAAATGACATCGTCAAGATGCTTTGGTTTCTTTACAACATATCTTGTTTTCTGACAAACGTAGGACTTTACTGTGCTCCTCCTATTGCCGACGTCAGGGTTTAGTCATATGAGGCAGACGTCATGCAAGAACTTCTGATGACAATAAAAAAGAAGCTATCATTGTCCACCAACTTCATGTTTACTTTATAAAAGATATTCTCTTACTAAATAATTCAAAGTTTGGTGACTATGTTAAACGCATCTAATCCAACAAACATTAAATAAAAGATACCACAGATACAGTAAATTCTACCTCATAATTGGACTGATATATATATATTGACACTATGGGTCTGTTTAGAACAAAACGTTTTTACAACGGAGATGAGTTCGGTTTTCCAATTATGAACAGTCTATTTAATGTGAGCAACATTTCAGGAGCTCCTGAACACAAAATCCCAAAGCCTGCTTTTCCTATGATGATGTCCGTGTAGAGGATTGCCGACTACAAGGAAGCAATTAAATTTAGGGTTCTATGTGGTACAGTTGAAGCCATTGTCTTAAAACGTTTACAGACGCAAATACAAGTTGGTTGAAAATTGTATCCTAGTTGACCACAGATGTGTTCCAATACTCGTAACAACAATTCCGTTTTTTTTTTCATCGATCGTAACATTGCCATATCTAATTTTTACTTACATGGAAAATCGAAGGAAGTAACATCTTGAGAAGGATCTGCTTATCTTTCAGAGCACATGAATTCACCCTGGGTTTTTGTGTGGTTTGTGTTGCTCAGCTTTATATTCCTATGATCCGATTTGAAGAATGTAGTTTGTCTTTTCATCCTCTTTTCGTGTAATGCCATTTCTCTCTAGTTTTGAATGTTCCATTGATATCTGTTGCCACTTTTTGAAATTCATTTATCCATTAAATGTTGATGAAATGACATAAACATGTTTCCAATATGCAAAACGAAAAATATTTTTTTAGTTTTATTATTTGTGTGTTGTGCTGTTATTTTTCCTTGTTACACATGTGCGAGAAAGTACGAAACGTGTCAAATATAGGCTACGCATATCACAATGTTCACAAAAAAATAGCACAACAACAAAGAAGGGTTTTGAAAATGAATATCCTGGTCTAGCATGTCTAGCGTATAACTCAACTACAACACTCCATTTGAAATTCGCTAATAATTCACCAACATTCAACTGTAACGATCAATCAGACAAAATTCTATGACGTTCATTTGATATTTCAAAATTCACGGTACCTTTTAAAGAACCAAATGAATTGTACATTTATTTAATACAGTTTTCAGCATGTAACATACGTTTTTGATATCTTATCATCAAATATAGGGATACGATCCATCAAAGTTACTTCCATGTGGGTATTAAAGATAAATGATAAAGCTAATTCTATTTCCAAACTCACACATCACAATATGAAAGTATTTTATTATTATATAAGCTTTTTTTTTTAATAAAAAATATGGTAATGTGTTTAAAACAGAATAATGAATGCTAGTATAGTCGTCTGATCTGCAGAAGACTTTTGCCCTGTGTAGGTAACCTGTCTCGCTCTTTTTTGAGTTGATGAGATTCATTCAGGGTTATTTTACCTCCTTTTGTATGTTCTCAATCGATTCATGAAATTTGAACATCGATAAACTTAAATTGCATCAAACATGTCTGTTTCTATTCAGAGTCAGTATAGCTTATCATCCATCATTGGTTTTGCTCATCATTGATGCTTGTTTATGACTTCAAATTGCATACATTCTTGTTACTTTTCCTATGGTGGCGGGTTGTCACATTTGTAACGTATCGGGCTACCAATGTTTGTTATTGTTAAATACATACAAGTAGTTTGTAAAGTTGAAATAATTCCAAAAGTAGCACAAATTAACCAATAACAAACAATAAGAATTTATTCAATTTTAACTTGAGAATAGGTTCCCATATCTATGATTATCCTATAATCATCTGTAAATGTATATGTTTAGTGTACCCTCTCCTTCATTTATCAAATTTATGATGGAAAACTAAATAAGCTTACACAAACAAATGAACATAAATAACTTATCAACTGCAACTGTATGACATGCCTAAACAGATGATTAATTTAAAGTTTAACGAATCAATCATGACAAACTATGTTTTTGAAAAAGTTTAGTCAGAATTTCATTTTCTTGTGTATTTTTTTCCCATTGAAACATTTAAACATGGAACGAGATCAATCAAAGCCTAAAGTCAGTGAATGGTCAGGTTAATATATGTTATATATGTTTAATACATTTCACTTTGAAATAAATGAACATGGTGTAAAAAGACTGCCTATCGGTTCATTTTACAGGTCCAATACAATTAACAAATTCAGACCATAACAAATATGACAAAAAATAAACATAAATCATAAAAATACCATATTCTGCTCCCAAGAAGATGGTCGGAAAACGCTCCTTGAATTTGAAAATAAATTATATTATGCATCATATGATCTACCAAATTTCATCCTTCAGAATATTAATAAAAACGTTAGTCTTTCGAACATAAGTAATTATTTTTTTAATTGTCTAATATATTTAGGGCTCAAAAATTCTTCAATAAACCCCCTTACTGCGTTAGGGACATATGTGTCTTCCCCTGGCTTAATGCGAGAAGCACATATGTGTCCTTTGTGGAAAAGAATATTTTATCTTTCCCTTTCCATATATTTTCCCCTTTTTTCATTTATTATAAAAAAGAAGATGTGATATGATTCCCAATGAGACAACTCTTCAAAAGAGACCAAATGACACAGAAATTAACAACTATAGGTCACCGTACGGCCTTCAACAATGAGCGAAGCCAATACCGCATAGTAAGCTTTAAATGACAAATGTAAAACAATTTCAAACGAGAAAACTAACGGCCTTATTAATGTACAAAAAAAATGAACGAAACACAAATATGTAACACAGCTACAAATGACAACCACTGAATTGCAGGCTCTTTGTATATATTTCATATATTTTAATCATTATGTGGTTATTAATTTTGTTATTTTTTTTTTAGTTCATTTTCGTTAAACGTCATCGTTACGTCATGTATTATACGACATCACTTGACGTCGAAATTGAGCTGAGACAAAACACCCCTACCGATTTTTACATTTACTAAGTGGTGAACTTAGAGTTTGCAGTGGTTTTCTTACTTGCTTTGCCAATAAATAAATAAATTAAACAACAAAACATTCTACGTTGGTAAAAAAAATAGACATTGCCATAAAAAGCATCCAGTACTCTGAATACTTTTAATGTGTTGTTAGCTATAGTTTATGTTCAAAATATGAAAAAAACAATGTGGTTATCGAAAAAACATGTCCAAACGAAAATTGACAAAAAGACAACCAACAGTTATTAAACACTTATATTAACGGAAAACATTAGAGTATGCAAGGTGAAAGCAACTAAAAAGGGTAAATAAACTAGGATTTCCTGGAACCACTTCCGGATGCTCCAAAAGATGGTAGTATAATACCAAGATATAATACGGAAGAAAAATGTGTCGAGTGGACCTGAATAACATATAATATTTCATCTTGTGAGACGAAGATATATTTCAACAAAGGAGTAGGTTCAGTAAGACCCCTTTTGGGCCCCAAAATATAGCAGTTTTACAAAATTGTTGAAATGTAAACTTTTATATATTTATTGGAAAGTAGAATACTTCTGCTACATAAATATGGGCTGTATTTGACAATACAATGCACATATATGGGGTACTAGCAGCGTTAAGTGATGCTAAATTACTGAAATCTTCACAATTTTAGCATTTGAGTTAAATTTTAGACGGTTTTCGTCTTAAATGGAAGTGGCCGCATTTGTGTTCATTCTTAATATTTACATGTCAGTTGTATTTGATGATAATACGCAACATATATAAAGGTTGAGGATGAACACGGATGCGGCCACTTTCATTTTTGACAAAAACCATGTGAAAAGTGACATATTATGGCATATTTGATAGCTTTTTCATGTTAAAGCTTGAATTTGAGCGTCTTTAATGACTAAATCAGTTAAAATCTTTCACATAAACGAATTGAATTGACTGAAGTAGACACTTAAGTGTTTAAAAAGTGTCCAAAATCTTTCATCAGATGAATCTGAAATTTGAGGCCAAAATCGGCCCTTACCGGACCTACTCCTTTGTGAGACGAATAATCCTTTCTTGATGTTTTCTTGATTTCTTTTATTCTTCTATAACTTTGTTTTCCTACATTTCTGGGTATTGTTGACACTGTATTGGGATTCAACCAACAGAATTGCTTAAGGTGTATCTTTTCGGGGAGTAAAATGGCAAAATAGTCGAAAGGGTTCCACTTTATAATCTTAAAGATCTTATCAAGGATAAATGATTTTCCTCAGAGGATTTCATGATTGTCACGGTCACAAAAGAAAATTTGCACTGATATATCAGTGACTATGATAATACGAGATGTGGTATGATTGCAAATGAAAAAAACTATCCAACAGAGTTCAAATAACGATATAATTAATTATAGGCAACTGTACGGCTTTCAATAATAAGAAAAGCCCCTACCGAATAGTCAGCTATAGAAGGTCCTGACATGAAAAATGTAAAACAATTCAAACAAGAAAACTAACGGCCTAATTTATATCAAGACTAGTCATAAAAACAATTTTGATAGATATGAATCAACGACAACCACTGAATACGGGCTTCTGATTATGGACAGGCATAAAGAGTGTGCTTTCTTTATTTTTCCGGTCAATTATTTTGGCGAGTGTTCCTCAATCTATTTGGTATCAAAGTTTATTGTATTATTTACACTATGTCAACCTTTTTTGTGGGGCGGATCCAGGATTTTAAAAATGTGGCGTAATTCCCGATTATTGAGTATGCACACGTGAGTATATACAGCCTATTTTATGCTAAAAGTTTATATCTTGAAAAACAAAAGATTTTTTTTACTTTTGGCGATCGAAAAGGGGGCCACTGTTTATAGTGCAGTAACAGAAGTGTAAAAGGAGTCTAAATTTCGAGTTTAATGTCCCAAAATAACGGCTAAATCTGGTCTCAACACATATGTCTACTTCATTTTCCACCATGTCGTAAGAATTTCGTATGGTCATATTTTTCTACAAAATCGTTTTAATGATTAGAGTATATTGGAAAGTTTGCAACCCCTTGATTAGAATATATTTGCTCACATATGTTTTTTTTTTAGCTAGTATCATTATGTTGAAATGTTTTATTCTGTTTTCTATTTTCAACTAATCTATAAAATTTGCAAAGTTCTGACTGTTTAGAAGTGATTTAATTTTTATTGCAAATTCAGACACAAACTTTAATTTCTTCTTCATAGTACATGTAGTAGTCATTATTACCTAATAATGTTTCAGGCAAATAGTACTTCATAAAACTTGTTACTGATAAATATTTCAGAACGTAAATATTAAAAAAGCCTTAAGATATCAACGAAAACAGAATAAATTTATAAACTACAAATTCATTACGGACCTTGATTACTTCCCTTTCATCACATTTGGTGAATTATTATACCTAACGGTTCATAATTTGCACTCAACTGATATATGTAATTACTACCTTTTTCGCTTTATATACTAATATTTGTAATCAAACCGTTTATTTGTATATGTTTATATTTTAATTTTGTTTTGCTATAATCCATCAAATATATGTATCACTTAGAATAGTCTTATTGTAGAAAATCAAAAAATACATGGACCCTTTTTTCCTCGTTCATGTCATCGTTTCAAACAGCAAACACTGCCGATGCCAAACATTTTCCTTTGACTTAAGAGTTCCGGAGATGGGGTTGTGAAAAGTCACCCATATTTACATTTTGGGACAAGTTTTTACAAGCCATTTAAATACCTCTTCAGAAAGTTAGATTAAAAAGAGAGGAAAATTGGTCTCTTCACTTGAGCTCCACTGCTGCCATCTTGCCCTATATATATATGTTACAAAT